AAAATTTGGTCTTCCAAAATCAACATCAATGGCTGCCAAGGATTTTGCAAATCTAGTTAAACCTACTCTGTCAACAACTGCAATCATAGCACACGGCTATGGTTTTTTCGTGCTTCTCGGTTCATTATTGGACAATATATTTTATACTGTAAGGGTACTTGTGATGAGTGACAGCCCCTGACTGGGTGGAATCAAATGTATTTTTACAGTAAGGGTATTTGTGATGAATGGCAATCCCTGACTGGGTGGAATCGAAGGTATTTGAGCGAGCCAGTGGTGGTGCACAATTCAGCGTGGAGCTGCGAGCTTCTGGCGCACGCCATAAGCACCATAGCTCAGCACTTCCACTTGGAGCTTCATAAGTGCGATGTGCGGATCCATGGAGACAACTCCAGCAAGGAGTTGAAAAACAACAGCTGCCTCCGCTGGCTGTCTGAACTTGTGAGCAGCCACAGGATCCGGTCTGGATGCGTAGCCACGCTCCAGGCCGGACACTCGCACGAAGACATAGATGCTACATTCGGGCTGTTGGCGGCCCACTTGGCGGGGTATTCAGAGCTCCATGTCCCTCAGGATTACATCAGGGCGCTGGACGAGTGGCTCCTGCAACCCAAGCTTCGACCTCGCGAGTCGCTCAAGATGGTCCGCAAAGTGGATCGTGTTAGAGACTGGTGCCTTGTTGCAACTTGAGTGGTGGCTGTTAGTCGGGCGGCGGGCGGCGCTCGCAAGCAAATACTTTTCTTGTAAATGGCGATGCCTTGTTCAGGCGATCTCACCTCCACCTTCTCTTCCAGAACGCCCAGCTTCGTGGAATTGGAGGGCCTGGTGCTCCGCACAGTTTCCTCCTCCAGCGGAGGTCTGACGCAGGCCAGGTCGACGGGTTTATTGTAGTGATGTACTCTGTATAATTGGCGTTCCTCACTGTAGAAGTTGCAAAAAATCAGGCCAAGCGGCCGCTGGCGTGGGCTCTCGATTGTGGAGTCGGCGAGGGTATCGTGACATCGCTGCGGGAGATGTTGTTTTGCAGAATTTCGGATTAGCCTTAGTAGGTTCTGGGGTTGGTCCTTCTCATAGACTAATCTTTTTCGCAGCCTTCAGCATGCTAATGGGTAGCCATGATCAGTGTGTGAGGATGAAGCAGTTCTTGTCCGATGAAGAGTTCCGGGAACCAATTCTCCTGCACTTGCCACAGAACATCGTGCAAGATGCGACGCAGCTTGTGCCTGAAGGAGTTTTGGCTTGAATTGCGCGCTGCGCTGCTGATTCTTGCATCTAGCTTTATAGCGGTTTGTGTATGGGCAAACCCTTGCCTGTGTTTTCCAATATCGTCCAACCTGAGTCCTCAGCGAAGACCGCTCCTTCAGAGAGGATGATCAAGCAGCTGATGCGCAGAAGCTCAGGGTGTATGCCGATAAGATGCGTCGCGTGGATGCACTTTCGTTGAACCTGGACAACATGACAACATGCTCAACAAGAATTCCATTGCGTTTGCAGGTCAGCCTCCGTATTTGATGGAACGAGCTGCAGGCTACTATGAGAAGATTGCAAGCCGAGATTGGGACAAGGGAGACCTCCTTCCCATTGGCGGGCTCTTTTTTCCAGGACCTGCTGTTGGACGGGGTGCTCCAGCCATTCCTCACCAAGGGGAAGACTTCGGGGCTGTTGCGTGGATTGGGCGGGGTTGAATGTATTTTTGTTTCTATTTTGCAGTCGCGCTGGGTTTTGTTGGGTGAGTTCCATAGGTTGCGTTCGAGCCACCTACTTGCAGCACCAAGGCTCCAAACCAGATGGCGCTTGCTAACGAGGTGCTCCAGCCTGCGATCTTGGTAGACTTCAGGTCCCAATGGGTCAGGTCAAGAGAGAGATGTACCGTGTTGCAGCCAACCTGTGGGCTAGAGGCGGGATGGCCTGGCGTGATGCTTTGAGCGTAGCTGAACGTGCGTTTGCCAGGGACTTACGTCGGCGCTGAGGGTGAAAGAACATAATTGCAATCCATGTCGGATAATGTGCCAAAACCTCAGAATTTGTTGTGATGGTTTCAGTTTCAGCCACCAATACAAACATGTGTTCCACTTGACAGTTGCCGCATTGTTCTTCTCAGCGGAATCCGCTTTAGATTTTGTTTGGCGTGCAAGGGCCACTACAAGTGCATGTGGCTCAGAGCTCTGCAGATCAGCAAAATTTGAACCAGTAAGTGTTTGATTGAGGCCGTTAGGTGGGTGCTTTATAGTTGTTGCATTCGGTATGACAAAAGCAGCTGTATATTATACGCTTTTTTTGAGCTTCTACTTTTCAATGCTGCCAGCATGTCGCTCCAAAACAAAATCCAAGCCTAAGCGGAGACATGCAGACCTGGAGGCCTGTGGTCGTGTCATTTGACAAGAGGTTAATGGTTTTCATCTTTGTTCATGGCACGCCTTTTTTGTGGGCGCTAGGTTTAAGGCAGTGGGCAGTTTCAATTACCACCAGCTGCCTGACAGATCTAACCATTGCAACCCCTTTCACGTTGTGTTTTCTTTGTTGGGGTTAAACTCTCCCGAATATTCTGGCTTAGGTCTGGAATATGGCTTTTCCTAGGGTCGCAGGGGGCTTGGGGAGGTTTTTCATTGGGATGCCAAACAACGGTTGAGCAAAATCGATAAATATTTTGACAGTAGGAAACGCACCGAATTTTAACTTGAGGGGCCGGCCCAATGTGGAAAATTTGAACTGCGCGCGTTCAGGACCTTTCCTCAACTACAGCTTCTTCAGATGCTGCTGCAGCCACTGCTTGTCCCTTGACGCCAAGTTCTGCGGCCCCGGAGGCCATCGTCGGGCAAACTTTTTATTTTGCTTTTTGACTTTTTCGTTACGAAGAACTTTCCATGTGCATGGCCGTGGCTTCGCTTTTGGAACGACGAACTTTGGACCCCTCCACCCCCAAACTAGCACCAAAACAAGTGAAACATTGTTCAGGACCTTGGCGTGGCAACCATGGGGCTTCCAGAAAAGCGCCTTCCGGTTTGCAATGGGAACTTTGTGCCTGCTACTTCTGGGTGCCCTTGGCGCGGCAACCTCCAACCCGACCCACGTCTTGGAGGACCAGGTGCTTTCAGGGCCGATTGCCTCAGCTTCATGGTTATAGGTTGGATTCATATAATAGCATAAACCACTTATTGGATCGGCGGTGAAGTTCCATGGCAGCGTGAATTGCGTGTAAGTGCTGTGTCAGGTAGCGGTAGCGTCGTGTTGGAATCATAGCATAGTCACAGCTATGCAGTGCATGGTCTCATGGTGAAGGCCCTCCCCAATCCAGAGCCCGCACGGAAGTTCGTGATGAAGCGCTTGCTCCACCACCTACTCGTGTAGCGGCCCCGACCTCATGTTCCTGCGAACGGGCGCCTGAGTCTGAGTCCACAGTGCAACCCCAACCCACAGCTGAACCGCCTGGCGCCGTAGACAGTGCTTCCAACGCTGGGCTTCCGGTGTCCCATATGGCAGGCGCGCCAGGAGCTTTGCCGTTGGTGGGTGGGCAAGCGCCGGCTTCTGCTCCAACTTCTACTGTGCCTTCAAGTGCGCCTGATGTGCGCCGACCTAGCGAACATGCAGGTCCACCTCCATGGCGTTGCACTCCGCAAGCTCATGCCCCGCAGCAAAGCTTTTCTCCACAGGCGCATCGGGTAGTTTTTCATTCTGTTGAGAGGAGTGTCTCTTCAAGGGCTTGCACTTTTCCTCAATTTTTTGTTTTCAAATTTTCAACCATGGAATCAACGCGTTTTGCCAGCTGCGTTGCAAGGTGCCAAATACGCCGCAATGGTTATCAAACCGGAAGTGGATGAAGCTGCTGACGGGATGGAATCGACCACGGGCCGGTAAAAACTTGGACTACTACGACAGAGTGTTCAAAGACCAGCGCCCGAATCGTTGAAAATCTTCGCGCTTGCCAGCGTGCCCAGTGAAAGAAACATGGTTTTTGCGTCTACAAAGTAGTCTATCTTTTTGGTTCCAGTCACTGCCAACGGCGCTTCCTTTTCACACAGTCTGCGGCAAACGTTCGAAGTTCGACCGGCGTGTTATATGTATATATATACTTCAACCTGCAGGCCTGTTTTGCTCTGTCTAGGCTAGAACTCTCAACAGAGAGCCGGTTTGGTCACTTGGACCGCATCTCTCCCCTCATGAGTTCCTATGTGAGATCATGTGCGCAATACTTCGACGAACGCTCGCCCTCACGAAGTCGTTCGCCTTTGAGACCCCAAGATGTCACGGCTGCTGGAGACCGTAGTCTACTACATGACCAGAACGACGTCCAAGTTCTCGCTGTGAAGGTGCGAAGTAGTGGTCGAACGAAGAATGCGAGTGAGGACCAATCATCCATAATCTTGCCCATAGCAAGATCAAAAGCTAATTAGAGTACAGGATGTGTATGTCCCAATTCGTGTGCGTTTTCGCATACTGAAAGTTCGGGCGCGTTTCCTGCGGGGGAAACAAACTATATTCACGTGGGCACTTCTCACGCGGTTTGCTTTACACACAGTAACAAGCATTGTTTCACGATGTTGGTTTCCTTCTGAAGATATGTGCGTTGATTGAAGGCTATCTCTGTCCCACTCTAAGCACTGGAACGCGTCTCCTGGCGACCTTGTTTGGCGGAGGCAAGACAAACTTGTCATTGCTGGGAGGCTTGCTGCTAGCTGCCTTTCTTTATTTCTCACAGCGGCCACGGGCCGCTTTGAAGCTGCGATATATATAATTCAAGATGAAAAGGAGGGGCAAGTCGTACTTACTTACGCAATGTGTTCTGATGTTTGGATGAAAGCCCTTTAGCTCTTTGCTGGTTGAACCAGGTCTGAGGGGTGGTGAATTTCAGCGGCCATTGAGACGCTCAAACTTGGCTGCAAGCTTTTGGGAAGATCCAGCATGTCGTGTCACCGCGTGCAGTACAAAGAGGTGCCTGCAGGCACGCGCCCTGCCCAGGCGAAGCAATGCCTGAAGGTGTTGACGGGTTGGAGCAGCTTAGGGCCATCAGCCTCTGAGCGCTGCCTTGAGAAGCTGGGATGTGGGCCTGACGACTCGGAGTTCTTCATTACGCTAGGACCAATGACTGCGCGCAAGTACTTCAAACATGTGGACTTTAGCCTCGGCAACCGACATGGCATGCTGTTGGAGCGCTGCCTGGCTGCTAATTAATGATGGCTTCAACGACGCAGGTTTAAAAAACCAAGCTATGTTGCCAAGTGGTAGCTGGAAGGGATTCGATTACCCCATCCAAGTGTAATTGGCTTTGTTGGGTTCTTGTTGTAGTTCATCATACTCTGAGGCACCTCCGGCAAGGACTGCCAACTTGTGGTGCAGGAAGTCAAGCCTGTGGAGGTCAATATTCTCATCAAGGAGAAGGTGGTTTTTATCAAAACGACGGACTTTGTCAAGAAGCTGGCCAGGCTACTTCGAGGAATTGGTTTGGCTTTGCGGGTGTCGGGCGTCTACTTTGGTCCATAAAATGGGACCCCACCAAGTCCTACACCGCTTGACAAAAACCCAATATTTTGGACCCTCTTGGGCCAACTTGGGGGGGGCCGTTTCCCAATGGAAATTTAGCATATTGTGGTGACCTCAAGCCCCTGTCATTGTTACATAATAGACGGTAAGGGTTCTTACCGTCTACATTATTTTCCAGCGGTCTCTGAGCCTGCTGGCCCTATTTTTCAAAACTGGGGAGGACACTAGAGGGAAGCCAAAGAGCCTTCAAGGACAATGCACTGTTCAGTTTTAGTTTTGTCCAGCTTCTTTCCGGTTGCGATCCGGTATGTGTAAGGTGAGGTCTGGGATTAGCGCCCGCCAACTTTATTCCATTCATGGTTTCTTTTTGTGGCTTTTTAGGGCTGAAGACCGGGCCCTGACTGCTGTGGTTCTCTTTTGGTTTCATCTTGAAATTGGCAATGTTGCGCCAACTATGCCTGTTAACTCCTTGTTCCAATGTTTGCCTTTCTGTTGCCTCCTTCCACGGATTCAGGACGGGAATGAGGACACTGGTCACAAGCGTCGTCAACAAGGTCTACCCAGCTGTTGTGAGCCACTACACAAATGCGCCTGGACATGACAAAGCGCTTATTGTTTTCTCTTGGTAGTCCGACCAGCTACACCACAAGTGCCTGATGAACTAGGACGTAGGGATTTGGTTCGTCGCGAATTTGACACCGCGTCGCTTTTTGCCAGAGCCTCGTTCCTTCTCAGGTGGAGATCAATGCTTTCGAGCCAGCCCACGCCTCCAAGGGTAAGATTTCCAAGGTCAAAAAGCAAAACAAGCGCGTGGGCGGTGCGCGCAAGAAACCTGCCAACAAGAGAGGTTGATGCGCACGCCTGGCGTTTGCCTGCGTATTTTTTGAAGCTACCAAAGGCCCGCCCTTAGCAGCGCAATGCGAAAAGAGAGTGTATGGGCACAGTGAGATGGGGGATCAG